CTCCCCGGCCGGCCGGCCCCGCGCGCTCATTGGTCGGGACGTGAGCTCCGCAGCCTCCAACTTCTCCCGGATCCCACTGGTGAGTCCGGGGTGAGCGAGCTGGCACCTGGGGGCCGGGGCACAAGGGTCCGCAGGGCGCGAGCGTCTGGGGCGGCGGGCGCTGCGGGGCTGAGCTGAACGGGCGCACGGAGCAGGGGTCCGCCGGGAGGGCCGGTGCGCCCGGGTCCCGCCGGCCTTGGCCAGGGAGGCGTGCCCGGGGAAGCAGCCGCCAGAGTGACCTAAGTGAGGAAAAGGGGCCGGAGGGTGACCTGGAGGAGGGCTCTGCAAGTGATGTCAGGTCGCCTCTGGGGATTGGTTTCCTGGCTCGCTGCAGCCTCTGCCTCCCAGAGTTGTGTTCGGTGACCCAGTCCGGGCGCTACCACATTGCAGCGGGCTGCTCTGCGGGCTGGGAATTTCTGCTGTAAGCGACACTGATAGATGTGTTTTTAAAAGCCAGGTTTGTTTTCATTTTGCGTTCTGTTGGATTTTCCTCTTATTTGTAACTTACTTTCCGTAACCTGCAGACCTCCTGGTTCTCACACCTCTTCACCTTTGCTTTGCCTCTATTGTATAATTTATGCTCATGGCTCGCTCTGCTCCCACCGGGCTGCTGGGCGGGAGGTGGAGGGAGTGCTTTGGTAGATTAAAGTTTTAAGACCTTCCCCTGGCTTACTTAATTGGGCCCAATCTACTTATTTGATAATAAGAGTGGATTTTGCAAAGCAATATCCCGCTTTATTCTCTGCCCTGCATGGGATTGAAGTGGGAATTTTAGGAAACTGAAAACTAGTCCATGACTTGTAATGTTAGCATTTGGATGCTAGTAAATCAGCAGACCGACTAGGAAGGATGTAGTTTTGAGCCCTGATGTCCTGCTGAGTTTCAAAAAAAGGAAAAGAAAGACTTTTGTCAGATGGTTTCTTGACCTCAACACTTGTGTATGTGGTTGTAACAGAGTGAGACTTGCTGTGTTCCAGTGCTGTATTCCAGGCCCCCCCCCCCAAACACTCATTAGTTCATGTCTGAGGAAACAGGAGTGTTGGCTTGCCTGACCGTATAGGCTACATACTGGACCTCTTTCACCTCTTCTCTTGCCTCTGTTTCCATAATTCAAACTGTCACTTTGAGGCACAGCCACAGGGATTGGGAGACGTTAGGTAGTGTGAAAAGACGCCGTGAAGATGGAAGTTGTATAACGTAAAGGTGTTGGAAAGCTCTTCAGCACACTCTTTGCCCTTCATCTGTCTTGAACATGTGGCCTTCTGATGAGAGATATATTTATACTTAACTAGTATAAGGACTGCTGCTTTAAGATGCTTTGAAATCTTGTTTATACTTAAGCGAAATAGTTATCTAGTCTTTCAGTGATGTTGTCAAGCAAAAGATTGTTGGAGGATTTTTGTTGAATCAGATCTCCTAAATAAGTCACTTTTATTTCCCTCTAATGAAATGTTTGCACTCTTGGGTTTAAACTTTCCAACCCATCTCCAGTTGAAATGAAATGTTTCAAGAATGTGAGTATATTTGTGCGTATCCGGCTTCAAATGAGACCAGAGGTACTAATTTGTTAATTTCTGTGTTTTGTTATTGTCCTCTTGCAAACTTTTTCTCCTCGCAGTGGGTTTGAGTTGTGCTTTTGTTGAGTTGGTTAGTCATCTATCTGTTCATGGGTTGGTAAAGTGTTCAATGCTGAGGTTCAAGATTTTTCTTCCAGAAAATAGTTAAGGCCATCAAAATGAAATGGAAGTGAGTGGTAAAGTTAATTGTTGTTGTGGTAATTAAAGTTAAACAGGAGCTTAAATATGTATTTCCTTTCTGCCCTTGCTCAGTCCTCTTGACAAGAGTTACATCTGAACCAAAGGCATCTTTGAAGAATTTATTGACAGGGATAGGTGAAGAAAGTTTGTGGGTTAATGCAGAGATAATATTCTTCTGATGCAAGTAAAAAGACTAAGCCTTCAGTCATTGCTTTAACGCCTCCTTAACTGTGTCTGCAGCCTTGGGTGCAGAAGTACTAGGAACCACACTTTCAAGGGTCAGAAGGAGACACCAAGCAAAAGTTAGCCAACAAGGAGAAAGAAATGTCTGTCGACTGGCATTACTGCATCAGAAAGCCTGGTGGTGCCCAAGAGCACCTTTCATTTTAACCCCCTGGCTGGCAGCCCTGGTTTCTTTGCTTTGAGTTTTACTTAGAGAAACTGGTGTTGCTCAGAGTACTAAAAAGAGAAATGAGCCATTTTATACTCAGAAAGTATTTCCCTGGATTGTCTCCTTATATATGAGAGCGGAGGGAGAAGTATTCAGGAAGGGGTAATACTGGAGGAAATACGATATCTATTCAGATGTGCTTTAAATCAGTCATGAAATCTTGTGGGGAGTATTATTCTTTTTTGTATTATTTACCTCTTTGTATGCTGTCCAGGTATTAAATATGTTCCCATCTGTTCTTTCCTTAACCACCACCCCTATGGTGGGCAACTCTTATAAAATAGTACCACAATCAATAGAATTCCATAGCCTAACCTTGAGGCTGTGAGAACCAGCCAGCCACCGTGTGTTATGTAACCTTCAAGGAAGGCATTTTAGCATTCAGGTACATTACATTCCACTGCTGATGAGCAGACACAGTTTTCATTGTCTAAGAAAATACTTTTATTTGATAGTCTGTCTCGGATTATAGCCTCATGTAATCAAGAGTACAGTGTGTTTTAAGACTTTGTATCCAAGACTTTAAAGTCCAATTGTGGTTTACTTATTAATAACTAACAGGAGAGTTGAGACTTCTAGCTTGATCTTCCAGACAACATACTTGAGTGAAGAGTTTGTTCCTAACCTATGTCCTTGACTCAGTTTCCACAAAATACACCCTCAGGGAGTTTAGTTGTGTGCATTCCAAGAGAGCATTTCTGGACAGTTACTTCATCTGGAAACTAAATTACACGGATTGATGTGTCCAGATACCGACAGCTGATCTGTTAGTTTAAGACGATCTCCCCCACCCCCTTTACTCATCCACAGTGAATAGTGAATGGCTAACAAAAAAGCCCTTGACCTCTAAAATGAAATTTAATATTCACACTTGTATCCACTTACTTTTCCCTCCAGAACATATGCAGTGAGATACAAAGTAGTTTTCTCTGCCTGATGAGACTGTTTTCTCTCAAGAGTCACTGTTGGATAGAAAAAGACTTGAGGGCAAGAAGGAGAAAGGAAGAAGCTGGTCCCAAGAAACGGACAGGCCTTTAGTGCGTCGTCTGAGGGGACTAGGGAAGATGGTATTTTGTTCAGAATCTGGGGTGTGGGTCCAGTTAACTCACTTGGGTGTGGGCTTTTGTGATCAGGCCCAGAAGCCTTATCAGGATCCTGTCTCTCGTCTGGTTTCTGGTCTGGTCCCCTTAGACATTATCAGGTTTCTTCAAGGAATGATCAGGCCTGGAGGCAACTGGGACATTCTTTCCCCAATGACCAAATAAACGTGTATTTGTAAAGAACATTAGCTAGTTGTGGAACCTTGGAGAAGTTACCAGACTTTGGTGTTCTCTAGTTTCCTGAAGTGTAGACTTAAATATTTTAAAGTTTGAATGAGTACATACAAAGCCTTAAGAAGCTTTCTGGTCTGAGTGTCAGCCTTTCTTAGTAGAAGTGGAGTCTGGGAGCTGATGGTTAAGTCAGTGCGCCATTTGTAGGTGAAAGGTGGTTCGTAACCACACCTAGGATACCTTGGAGGGAATACCTGACAGTCTTCTTTCATGAGGTTCTGCCTGGACAGCCCTGTGGAATGCAGTTCTATTCTGACAAAAATGGGGTTGGTTTTAGTTGGAATTGACTCAGTGGTAACTTAGGAAAGGGGTGCGGAGCACTTCAGCAGAAGTTTTGATTCAAATGCAAGTCAAATATATATATCTTAACAGTGGATACCCTGACCTAAAACGTAAAGTTCATTTGTTGTTGTTTTAAAATATGTTTTTCTTCTTTAGTCCAGAAAACATTGCTTACGGTTGATACCTTTCATCCCAAAGTACATGCTGCTGGCTTTTGGTCACAAGAAGAGACCACTTTGAAAATGTTGTCTAACCAGTTAATGGATACCCACGTCAGCTACAGTAGTGATTTTAAGCTGTAAAAATAAAAGTGGGTTCTAAGACTTAAAAATAAACTACCTCAAATGTTTGTGTTTTATCTGTATTCAAATTCCAAATTACTGCTTAGTCAAAACCTCAAAGTATGTGTCATTGATTTCTGGGCTTATAAAGAAAGAGAACAAGATATGAAATGAACATTTGATGTTAGTGCAAAGTTCAGAAGGTTTGTAAAACTTTCCTTAATGTATTTGCTTATGAACTACTAGACGAGGCAGGCCTCTGTGTGTGTGTGTGTGTGTGTGTGTATTGAACTGAGTCTCTTGGTCTGATTTCCCTTTGTCTAACTATATCTTCAGTGATATGTAAAAATAAAAGCTTACAACCAGAACCTAACAAATCTATCTGGTTCTAGACTTCTCTTTCAGAATCTAAGCTTTTGACTTTCTATTGAAAACTTTAACTTCTGCCCACTTTAAAAGATACTACTCACATTTTCCTTTTATTCAGTCATGTTACATTTTTGACAAATTGTGCATTTACTTTCTATCTATTTGTATGTTCTTAGCAGAGACTTGCACTGTTGACCCACAGGTACGCCTCTCTTGAGGTTCGAATTCGCTGAATAGCCCATTTCATCTCATGTGATTTACAACCTTGGAAACCAGTGACGGGTCCGCCATGAGTCAGTTCTGACTTGCTGTCAGTGAGCTGAGATTTTTGGGTTGAGCAGTTTTCATTTCTTTCAGATTTTAGGTGATGGGCAGATCCGAAAGTCAGATGGATATAACTGATATCAACACTCCGAAGCCAAAAAAGAAACAGAGATGGACCCCGCTGGAGATCAGCCTGTCGGTGCTTGTCGTCCTCCTCACCATCATAGCCGTGACCATGATAGCTCTGTACGCGACCTATGATGGTGAGCCTTTCCGCGTGGCTGCCCCAGCTTGGCTGCCCACCCCGATAAACGCCTGCTATATGAATATGTCAGAACAGTCACGTTTGCATAAAGTACCATGTCTTTTATACTTGCACTGAGTTATCATTTACCAAGTGTATTTAGTACCTTTGTAGTTTTTGGTGAAGATATTAATTTTTATTTGTACTTGGTGAAAGTATGCACAATTTTTCTTTTAACTGTACCCTTATTTTTATTTGACTATGAGGAGAGACCGGTCCTTAGAGAGGGACATCATGCTTGGGAGGGTGGAGGGACAGCGCAGGAGAGGAAGGCCCTCTATGAGGTGGAT